CCCCCCCCCCCCCGATTGAGCGCCACATCTGAAGCTCGGAAAATTTAAAGAGCGCCGGTATACATATAAGTATCTCCTAGTATAGAACTACATACAGCTGATTTAGGATTATCTGATTAAGGATTAAAGATAAACAGTAACACAGGAAAATTTTTGTAATTCCCAAATTGGAAGTTTATGGGAACATTTCCCACTTTTGGGAAAATATTGGGACCATAATTTCCTTCTTTGGAAAATAGTCGATGAGTGATTGGGGTTTTTATTCCCAATTGTGGGATTTTTACGAAATTTTGAGTATTGTGGTAAAATGTGCATTAGGGCTTTTGTGCAAGACAGACATGCAATTAACTTGAGTTAAAGCCATTTATTTCTTCACACGATTTCACGAAGCAGCATTTTTAAGACCTTCACGTACAGTAACCAAGGGGCCCATTATATCAGAAAATCAAGGTTCACTACTGGGGCAAGCCAAGGGGCTACTGGGGTAAATGCCCCAGTAGTTATATATAAAAATTGCCCTGCCAGACACACTAGAAAGTAGTTTGCCTCCGCCAAAATTGGCTATATACGTCTGGCCTTTTTCTTCATAATTGAAAAAAAAAAGAAACGAATAATAATAATAGCTATATATTTCTCACACACCGCTGAGGGATCGATGCTGCACACGCAAGCGCAGCCTGCCTTTTAATCGACAAAAATATCTCCTATTTACAATTAATGGATCCGTACAAACAACTGCAACTCAAACTAATTATCACGTGTTAGACTATTTAAACCCAATTCTAGTTAGCACTACTGCAACTGCATAATATAAGTTAGGCACTACCTGTCAATAGGGTGGGTGGGTTGGACACAGGTCAGGCTGGCATGAGCTAGCTAGGAAAGCAAAAAAGTGACTCTGATGACCTTCCCCAGCAGTGTGTGAGAAAAACATTTTCTGCCTCTTTCTTTCCTCAGCCAGCAGAAAATAACACATAGCTATATATGTGGGTAAGTCATATGGGTAAGTCTATATAATTATGTATTAATGTTTTTGCCACTGAGAATGACTGATCCAGTTCCCTTCTGCAATACCGAAAACAGATTCCCAAGGAACAGTGTTCTTTCCGTGTCTTCCCTGTGTCTCACGCACAAAGATCCCATGATTTCTGCTACTTGCAACATAGAAAAAAATATTAACTATTTTGTTTATTTTGTCCAAATTTTGAACATGACCAACCCAGGTGTCATTAACTTGTTCTCCCTGAATTAGCAACATATCCCCCTTTTCTGGAAATGCTGGCTCAACGATATTTAGGGGAATTTCCGTTATTTTCCGCTGATAATCAGCAACAATAAGTAAGTTGTCACCACAATTATGCCAAATTACTTTTCGTTGTATGGTTTGAATACCAAACTACAATTGATCAAGTAGAGGCTGACATTTTACCTTGAAAAATTTGCTCCAGTAATCTTTGGCAGGCTCTCCATTTTTGTGATAATGTACAGGGAAACAGAAACCATGTACCAATAAATGTGACAAGTTCTGTTATCTATCATTACACTTCACTGACAAAAAGCCATGTACTTCAATTACTGACTCCTAGTCACCACTCCTTACAATTACAGTTTCTGATACTACAGCAACATTAAAACCAATGTAAGCAATGAAAGCTCTGCTGGCTGTGAATGCCACCACCGGGATTTCTGCTAAAGATGATGAGAGTGCAAAAGCAATCTTATTTCTTTCTGCAACACTGATTTCTTGTACATTGCCCATTGCACCAAGACGGTATGATCTTCCCGCATGGTCAGATTGTTTCTGAATCTCTGCTTTGGCAGTTTCCATAGCACTAGCAAAACCCTATATATAAAACAGTTACAAGGATTATAGTGTGTAATTATCACCATCTCACTGTAAAACATAATGACAAATATTCTGTTTCGCTCTCTCAGCGACAGTGGCGGAAATTCACTTTCTCCGGTGGGGGGGGTCAAAGCCTCCAAAATTTCCGACAAAACTTTCAAATTTCCGACAACCCCCCGTTTGCACTCAAAAAGATTGTTTTTAGCCCTCTTTTAGGTCAAAATTTCCGAAATTCGTCAATTTTCCGTGAAGGCGGGGGCCTGCCGCCCCGCCCCCCGGCCCACCAAGATTTCCGCCACTGCTCAGCGAAGCCTTGGAAATCGCAAAGTGTTTCGAATAGACTTACACGCAACTGCCTCTAAATCTTCAACGCGAAAAGCGCTGTTTTCTTCAGTGCAAGAGCAGATCCAACATCAAACAAAAGGTAATTTTCTTGAGGAACATTTTTAACGTATCAAGCCTGTTTGAAATTAATGAAACTCAAGTAAGGGTTAATACTATAGTTTAACCCAGTCGTAATGTTGCTATTCCAACACTTCACGACAAGCAATTCCCATTGGCAAAACGGCAAAAACATCTCTTCCTTCAAGTAAACAATAAACAGTCGGCTCTTGTTCCATTTTGAATCGAAAAAAGTGATCAATTTTCGAATTTTAAGCTTATCGAGAGCCTTTGTTATGAATCACTGATCTAATTATAGAATCCAACAGCAAACAGCCAATCAGAATGCTGCATTCGAGGGCGAACGCGGAAAGTACAAAATACCGGGCCTTGCTTGCAGGCCCATTATTCTTCCCTTGGGCGTGCACGCGGGCTAACAAAAGTTTAATAATAGAGATAAAAATAATTTTGTTTTTGAGCAGAAATGTGGGTAGAAACTTTAGAAATCATTCTACAAAATTTGCATTATTTTTAACCTAATTTCTGTAATTTGGACGGGTTGCAAAATTGGTGTCGCCATCTTAAGTATCTCTAGAAGCCGAACGGTTAAGCCTTTTAGTGAGATAAATACTACGGTTAATATAATATGATTGTTTTTCAACCCACTCCAAAAAAATGAACCTTTGATTAAATATAGCGAAGTAATACCACCAAATATGACAGGTGACATTTTTTTGGGACACCCTGTATATTTAAGGGACACTTGCTCAATGGTTATCCTCTGTTATATACTGTACATACTCCTTTTGAAGTTGATTAAAATTGCTACATGTAGCGTTAAGGTGAGATGGCACATCTCTTATCCAATCATTGCATGTGATCAATGCTTATTTGTCTCAACAAAGAGATGGTTTGCGCTCTAGCTATCTAATTGGCAACTAGATAACGCATTTGCATTAGAATAATACAGCATTTGCATTAGAACTTGACAACATTTAAAATTACTAAATATATATACTGTATACACTAATGTGAAAATGAATACTTTTAGGATGACGACCCCATTGATGAAGAAGTGAGGAAATCAACCTATCCTTGAATCTTGGCATCAGGTGACATTGCATCCTTGGACCCATTGTACATGATGTTTGTGATGTATGAAGTTTTTTAGCGGACAAAATATCGGAAATGTATCAATCGAGTTTATGCGCTATAAATTGATGTTATGTGCTATACATTGATGTTATGTGCAAATACATTGATGTCATAAACCGATACAACTAAAAGATGAACCGATACAACTAAAAGATGAACCGATACAAATAAAAGATGAGGAAACGGAAGTAAATACCAATAAAAGATGAGGAAGCGGAAGTAAATCGGAAAAACGGAAGTTGAGCGACGCAGTAAAATTGCGCGTGCCAAGTAGTGGCGCCAAGCTGGTAAATACATATTGAAAAACAAGGGTAGAACTGCAGGCCAAACTAGGGCTAGGCAGAAGAGAGACAGCTAGGGCAGAAGACCAAATGTTCAGGATTTTGTTCAGTCAATCTTAAGCGCGGTGACCAATTTACAGCATTCTTCGCAAACACGTGAAGAAAACGCATCACAAGGTGGTTCAGTGCAGCAGTTCACATCGTTACCCGAAGAACTGATTTCTCGTTTCCGAATACACGTACTCAGAATTCGAATGTACGGTGTGTACCAAATAATGCGTCTGTGCCGCAGCCAGCCTTTCAGGGGTACTGAATTTTACACACATGGCTATCTCCTTCTCTCGCCTTATATATTTTACATGCCTCCATACAAGCTTTTTAGTAGAGCGAGATCATACTCCTTGAGTATGATCAAATTTTTTTACACCACAGGATATTTTACAGATACAATTTCACACACGCATCTCCAATTTTATGTTCGAAAAGTCTACACCTACACTTATATTTCTTAGGTTTACATTTATACATATACAAGTGGTTTTTTATTTTTTATTCTCAGGCTTATCAAATACAACATTATTTTCACAAGCATAAATTGTGCCACTGAACACGAGGCCATCACTATCATATTTCACACTACATTTTTGATCTAACAATTAGGGACTATTGCGGCATAAATTTATTACTAGGACACCAATATGGTTCTTTTTACCTATATCTAAACTTAAAAAGCAATGTGGTTAACTGCTCTTCCGTGACTTACATTCTTGGCCTACCAACGAGCCCGTTTCTTTCCGCCGTACAAACCGCACGATCGTAAGACTCTTCTAGTGAAAAGCGCTCTGACGTCCGTTCATAATTTTCAACAATAACGTCGAATTCATTTCGTAAACTATTTAAATAAGTACATAGTATATGTAGATTTTTAATTAAAAACTGCTCCGTTGTGTATGATTCGGTGATTCTTGTTGTTAAAACACTCAATCATTGAGTCTCAATGTGCGTTCATACTCTTCTAATCTACGACAATAAAAGTCTGGCGAGTCACAGCGAGTGCGACACTTTGTTCAGCATTTCTTATTAAATCAACCAATTCGCGAAAAACGTTTTCTGTATTAGGAAGCCAAATGCGTGGTCCAAGAGATTGTTGTATGTCGGCGCGTCGCTCAACTTCCGTTTTTCCGATTTACTTCCGCTTCCTCATCTTTTATTGGTATTTACTTCCGTTTCCTCATCTTTTATTGGTATTTACTTCCGTTTCCTCATCTTTTATTTGTATCGGTTTATCTTTTAGTTGTATGGGTTTATCTTTTATTTGTATCGGTTCATCTTTTAGTTGTATCGGTTCATCTTTTAGTTGTATCGGTTTATGACATCGATGTATTTGCACATAACATCAATGTATAGCACATAACATCAATTTATAGCGCATAAACTCGATTGATACATTTCAGATATTTTGTCCGCTAAAAAACTTCATAGTGATGTTACTCTGAGTGCATATTCACACCGGGCGAGCTTGAAAATTATGCCCGGCCACAGTGGAAATCGAACCTACGACCTTTGGAACACTAGCCCAATGCTCAACCTCGTTCCCAGGCTCTTTCCTCATGTGGAGGGAAAATCCTTGTCGGAGTTGGTCACGTGAACCCCCATATTTTGTGGGTAAATTGAATTTGGTCTTAGGGAGGGGTAGTAGAGGAGTCTGTTTGTTGCGTTTGGATAATTGCAACTTTATATGTGATAAAAATGTAATTTGCAACAAGAGATTGTGAAAGGAACTGTTCTAATATTAAGAGGAGATTTTTTACAAACTCGCGTATTTGGCGCTCAAAACCAATCAGATTGCCGGAATGCTGAGAAGGCGATAGAACAATGCTGGCAATATGGCGGCGGCGTTTCGTGTCGAGGAGTGTGTCGTTTGAAAATGATGCAGTTTTTAACGCAAATGACGACTGGATGGGGAGATTTTTGATAGATAATTAGTCAATTTAATCTTCAAGAAGTAAGGAGATGGATTTAACAAGATGAATTTATAATAAACAAATAATTACAAGCGATGCAATGTTTTGTGGCATTTGTTTTGACTGGACTATCATGGAACCTTGGAAGGTATGGTTGAATTTATACTAATTTTCTAGCCAATAACCTGCTTCTGATCAGACTAGAATATATCAAAAACAAACCTGACATACTCAACTTACAGCAAATCATATATTAACAGAACTAGCGAGTTTGTCCAACATCAATTTTGCAGATTTTTACAAACGATTTCAAAATTTACTGATTTATTTGGAAAGGTGAATAAATGCAGCATGTTTGGCTATAGCTTTAAAATAAATGGAATTATAGAACTATAGTATATGTTCTGTTTTTTAAGATATATTTTCTGCAATTAAATGTATCGATTTTAAAATCCAAACGCTAAATAGGTTTGAATTTAGTTTTTACTGCTCTTGCCAAATGTGACTTAAATTACACCATTGGTTCATAATTCATTTGTAAAACATAATTTCAGCAGTTATAAATCATGCGAAACTGCTTCTGATCTAACTAAAATGTTTTTCACAATAGACCCTGGGTCTGATAGTTTGCAAAAAGTATAATTTGAATCAAATTTGAGTGGTAGGTCCAAGGTCGTTTTTTAACATTTTTAAAATCAACCAAAATTACAATATTCACAGTGTTTATTTACTTGAAAAGCCCAATATTTGTATTTTTTCTTGGAAAATTTTATGAGATATCATGTTTAGTCATATGGACATATCGCTTATTCCATTTTTCTCTATCCATATTGATTTAAAATCTGTATGAACACTTTTATTCCCAAAATCCATCAAGTACTGGTACTGTACTATTTGGCAAAAATGGACTTTTAACAGTCTACTCTTTAACATCAAGTCTAACTGTTGCAAATTAGCCCAAAACTGTTTCTGATCAAACTAATTTGTCTTTAAGGATGACGCCTGGTTATATTAGTTTGCAAAAAGTATAATTTGACTTAAATTTGAGTGGTAGGTCCAAGGTCGTTTTTTGACATTTTTAAAATCAACCAAAATATT